GCTGTTCCAACTAGCGGGACTGGCCTGAGGGATTTTAAAGGGGGTTTTAATTACTTTTAAATTGGACATATTTAAATATTTCGTTTTAATCAAATTTTAATTAAGTATGTATATATGTTAGTATTTTATTCAATTGTCAGCCGCCCTGAGTCCGTAAGGAGAAGGGCGGGATATAAATGCAATTAATAAATAAATAAATTAATAAATAAATAAATAAAATAAAACAGAAAATTATCTTGGTAACTACATAAAAATTAGTAGTGCAACCAGATAATAGTACCGGCCCACAGGCCAGTTGCATCATGCGGAGGCTGCGCCACCCCAGCTCTGGCAATGTGAAAAAAGTCGCAATACGTCGCGACACATCACATGACACGGCAAAGTTGACACCCATGCCCTAACACATTTGGGAACCCAGATTCGGGCACATAGTCAGATCTTTAAAGCCTTTCAAAAGACTAACATAGTCAGGGCCATCCTAAGCTCCAAAGGAAGGATGTTTAAGGGCATGAGCTACTGCCAAGAAGATATAACTCCTGGACCCTATCAGCCAACATTTTTTGGCTGATGGGACTTGCAATCAATCTATTATATTGAATTGGATGGGTAGAAACTATTGGGAGAAGACATTCCCTTACATACTCACTCCCAAGCTATGTACCACTTTAAAGGTGAGAACCAACACTTTGAATTGCCTCTGGAAACATGAGAGCAGCCAATGCAGCTCCCATAGTAGTGATTTTAGTCATGCTGCATAACTGGCACCATTAACTACTTGTGTAGCCTCAATTTGCACCAGTTGAATATTCCAAATACTCATTAAGGGCAGCCCCATGTAGAGAGTGTTACAGTAATCCAAATAAGAGATAACTGGGAGCAAGTTCTGGAATGACTGAATTCATATTTGAAAACTGTTTACTGTTACCCACACCCCTAGTCACCTCGAATCTTGACTATGCAAATGTGCTCCACATGGAGTTGGCCTTAAAAGTATCTGAAAGTTTCAATCGATTCAAAATGGGGTGGTTTTGTGCAAACCAAGATTTGCACATGTATCACCTCTCTTGCGGGAACTGCACTGGCTGCTGATTTGGTTCCGGGCCCAATTCAAGGTGATGGCTATCACCTTTAAAGCCTTACATGACTTGGAATCAGGTTATTTGAAGGACTGTTTCCCCCCCAGTCATATTTACCCAATTCATCAGTGCAAGGAAGCAGTGAATATTATGAGCCCCCTCTTCTAAGGAGATCCATCTAGTGAAATCAGAAAGCCTTCTCCCTGATGGCTCCCCTCTCCCCCCCCCCCCCGGAATATTGTCCCTGCAGAGATAAGACTTTGAGCCCTGAAGATATGGTTCTGCCAATAGGCCTGGGGACCCCAAAGTGATATGGAACTTATCAAGTGATTTATTGGCTTTTTTTGGTAAGCTATCCAAAATCACTAGGAATGCGTTGGGAGGCCATATACATTTTCTACATAAATAAAATTTTCTGACAAGAACACACTTAAACATTAATTTCTCTAAATTTGGGGATACATTACTTACACAGGTAAAGACATACTGGTATATACTCTTTCTTTCTGTCATTACTGCTAACGGTTGCATTCAATATGTTTGTCCAGATTTGTTGTCAAAAGCCATTTAGATTCAACATTATCTACAAGAAATATTACTTGGCTTCTCCACAATGCATGCAAACAAACTACCCGTTAATTTTGCTACAAGCATCTTCTCTTTGTTTCTATGGTTGGAAGCAGAGCCACATCATTAGCAAACAGTTTTAATAATGCCAGTAGAAAAGTGTAGCTTGTCTATTTATTTATTTTGGCTGTTTGTTTTCATTAATTAAAAGAATCAAAGGCAAAGAAAAATGAAGTTATTAAATTAGAATACAAATACTTTTAGCATATTTTCATATTACCTTTCTGTGAGGTGAATATTCATCAACTGTGCTAAAATAAAAAATATGTATGTTATTCATTTTTCTAATAAAATGCTTTTAGTAATGGTTTAGATCTCTACTAAAAAGTGGCATAGAATCTAATGGCCTAGAAGTTGGATCTTCACACATTTAATTCAACACTTTTAACAATACACCACACTGACTCTAGCTATGTTACTATTATATATGACTAATTATATCACTTATTACTATACATTGTTATTAGCTAGTAATCTGTAACAGCAATTGTTGTGACAGTAATCATTGGTAGGAATAATATTTATAGCATTTGTTTACACAAAACTCATTGCCTACATAAAAACTAATCCAACAGCTCTATAACAAACCTTTTTACATTACTAGTAAAAATGGACTACTAGATTGCAATAATAATTTGTGTATCAAACCTATTCTTTCAAGTTATTCCCTTGTAAACTATACAAAACCAAAGCTTGCCTATACAAACATTAAATACTTGAAACCATACCACTTGATATTATTTATTCACAAAAAAACCCATTATAATTAGCAAAAAAACTAATTATAATTCTTTAAAGGAAGAAATAAAAAATAGGACAAAAAAAACTTACTGACGACGATGCATTCCAAGTAATTTCTGAAATTCTTTTAGGTCTTTCTCCAATATAGGGTATTCATACACATCATCTAACACATTTCTATATATTGTCTAAGGAAAGAGGAAGTTGAGAGAAAAGGGAGAGGAGAAAAAAATCAAACAAATATATGGTACAGCTTTGCGGTAATCCAGTTAAAGCAATACTTCACAAATGTTTCATGTTAAGATTTTCAGGTTGGAAAGAGGGTTTTTAAAGGTTTTTTTTAGAGCCAGTTTAGTGTAGTGCAGACATGTCAAACTCGCGATGTCACGTGACATCATGCAACGTATCGGAGCTTTTTTGCCATTGCCGGCAATGGGGGGGCGTGGCTCCGGTCTGATGAAACTGGCCCGTAGGCAGTTTGACACCCCTGGTGTAGTGATTTAATGCAGAGAATGAGTTCAAGTCTGCCTTAGGCATGAAGCCAGTTCAGTAGCATTGGGCCAATCACTTTTTCTCAACCCTAGGAAGAAGGCAATAGCAAACCACTTCCAGATATCCTTGCCAAGAAAACTGAGGCACTAGTTCAGGCAGTGGCCAGGAGTCAAAAACTGACTTGAAGGCACACAATCACCAGTCAATATTAGTTATCTTGAAAGGCAGTATCTTACTTACCTTATTGCTGATGTATGCTGAATAATTGAAAAGAAAACCTTTTCAAAGAGTACTTAAAAATAGTCATTATGTGCTTTGTTGATTATAGAAAGATCTTCAATATTGACTATATTAAGATATGAACTGTTCTTAAGAAAATGAGAATCCCAGAACATTTCACTGTCCTCATATAAAGCACAATAATCAAAAAGCATCATGGTGTAAAAGACTGGCTGTAAATTGGCGAAGAAGTGAAACACTGCTATGTAGTTTTATTTACTCATTTATTCAACCTATATACAAAACATATTGAGGGACACTGAATTAGAGAAATATTAATATTGCTTTAAAATTGAAGGAAGGGACTCAATAATTGTGCTAGGATGATGACAATATTCCGATAGTTGAAAATACAAGTGATTTGAATGCTCCAGATTAAGTATAAAGAAGATCAAGTAAGAAACCAGCCTGATAACTGACAATGAAAACACCAAAGCGATAGACAGCTTCTGCCTTTTAGAATCACACAAAAGGAAATACTCAGGAGATTCTCTGAGGAAGGCTATAATAGTGGGCAAGTTGGTGACAGAGAAAATTTTCTTGGAGAAAATCTATATACGTGGTTGCTACGAGTTGTTATTAATTTAATGGAACATAATTTATTAAATTTTATGACAACTATTTTATCATCTATGTGCTTTCCACAACAGGTCAAGTTTTATTACTCCATCTTAATCCTCTTTTTAGTATATAAGGTTACAATCCCCTTTTCCACCTTTCATATAATTGTGAAAAATTAAGAAAAGTAAAGGATTTCATGACCACTCCATGGACATTACATATGTAATGTATAAACGCATTATTAGAACACCAGTTCCTCTGAATTCTGGAATCACAGTTAATTGTGCACTTTTAGATCGTAACAGAAGAGCAATTATTTGCAGGCTATGTATTCTTCATCTAGAAGCACCCAGTAGAATTTTAGGAGATACTACATTATAAATGCTGATCCTATATCCAATAAGTGTGCTTAACTCAAATATACCATTACAGGCAGTGGTAGGATTCAGCCAGTTCGCACCAGTTTGGCAGAAACGGTGGCTAATTTTTTATTGCCCAGGCCCAGAACGGACTTCCGGAAGCGGCATCCACACAGAGAACTGGTTGTTCACATATTTGAATCCCAACACTGATTACAGGTTGCATAGATTAAGGTACATTTTTGGATTTTTTAAAAATTTATAATTACTGTACTGTAATTATAAATAAACATACCTTAAGAAATTGCTTCAAATGCTCATCTTCATGCAACCAATCTTTGTAGAGTGAAGTCCACTGTGACACCAAATGCAAGACTTTTCGCTTTCTACAGGGAACATCAACAATTTCATCCTTGTTTTGATGGTTCTTAGCACAATAAGTGGAGATAAATTAAGGAAAAATCTCAAAAACAACAAAAATTTTCACTGTTGTCTGAATATACAATTTTTGCAATTTATGTAAGCAGCTTTGAGTAATTATTGATTCTGATGAAACTTTAAAATAATTATATTTTAATTGAAAAAAATCAAATATTTATTTGTATGTAAGGTTTATTCAGTAATAATTTAAAAACTTTGCTATATACTAAGTAATATGTGAAATGGTTTCTTATCAGAAGGTAAAGTTTAGTATACAACAAAATTTCTTTCTTACATACTAAGTAATGGATGGAAGGAACTGTCTAAAGGTTAAGGTTAAGGTTAAAATACAAAAGATAGTAGCATTTCCCATTTACATATTTTTTAAAAATAAATTCTAAACTTTTTCTATTTTCCCCATCTTTTATTTATAGTTACTACATTTATTCATGCATTTGTTTTACATTTCCATTCCATCTTCCCTCTAAGATCAGGATAGAAAATTCCCATCTTATATCTGGATAAAGAAAACATTGCAAGGGATTGGAATTTCCCAAATATTACAACAGAATTAAGTAATCATCTAGGTTATCTTATTTTTTTCTTTTAGTACAGAAATTATAACAATAAATAAAACACAAACATAATTAAATATAATTGTAAGCCACTGAGAATCAGTATAAGCCATTCAGAGTGACTTATACAGTGAGATGGCTGGCATATAAATTTGATTAATAAATAATTTCTGAATATAACCAGTGATCTCAAATTATTAAACTAAAACTATACTTCATATAGCACTGCCAGTGAACTTCTCAAATGCTATTAGGCTATGCTGAAAATTAAAGTAATAGCTGTATTATATCCCTGTAAGCTGATTGAAGGAAGTGGTATCATTGATAAAAGAGCCTATTATTAGCGTTTTTATTGGAAATGGAAATAAATTACTTTGTAATTCTAAATCTGTCTTTCCATCCAGGGAAACTGAGATATAAGCATAAACATATCTACTGCAATGATTAATAAATACTCATTAACAGGGGCAAACAAGCTGTATAGATTTGCCTTATATCTAACTTATAAAGATCACTAGATACAATGAGGCCTGAATGACTGAGTCCCTATTCTTCTACAGAGAAGGATATTGTCTCAGCAGAGCTTGACACAAGTCATCTGTTGTCATGAAGACTGTATATGTAAGAAGGAAGTCATCCAGAAGAGTTTCTACAAAGAAAAATAATAATAATCAATTTTTAAGCATGTTATTAATAAAGCTCAAACTATGACAGTAAGAAAGTCACAATAAATATAAGAGCAAAGTTTCAGATAAATATTTAAAGATAAATATATAAATCTTAAAATAAAAACTATTTTCCTAAAATAAAACAAATTTATAATTCTGAAAATCAAACTAATGTCTGTATCCCAATTTAACCACGAACCACAGATAGGATAGTCCAAACTGGAAGACCGCACAATTTATATGAATGAGTATTCTTCTAATTATATTAGTATTTTTGCAATCTATAAATATCTTTGTTAGATTCTACATGACCAGGATGTATGGTTCAAATGGATATGAGCTTCAAAAGGATATGGGTCTCCCAAAACAACATACAAGAGATAATTTCTACTGAAAAAGGAATTGCTACAGCACATATAAAATTGACTTCAGCTTTTTAAATACTTTACAAAATGTAATGTACTTCATTGCAAGATAACTTGAAATATGGCATTGTGTGCACCTACTCAAAAGGAAGCTCCACTAAATTTAACTGGACTTACATTAGTAAGCAGCGATGATCAATCTGTATTAAAAAGCCAACCATCAACACACCCAATCAACATCTAAAAAGCCACATACAATAGGCGCTATAAATACCACACACTCTGCAAGACAGACGTTCCCTGGGGATGGGCTCCAGCATAAGTCTGAAAGCTAGGAAGACAAAAACCTCTCCTCCTGGTGACCAACTCAGATTGGATCCTACATCAACCTGTATTATTTACAATATCCTGTCATGCCAGTGAAATTTATTTTTTTTATTTATTATATTTTTCTCCTGCCTTTATTACTTTGTAAGTAACTCAAGGTGGCAAACTTATGTTATACAGTGTTCCTTTCTCCCCCTCTTTTCCACACAATAACACAGTGAGGTGGGCTTGGCTGAGAGAGAGAGAATGACTGGTCAAAAGGCATACCCAGCTGCCTGCATGCCTAAAGGGGGAGGGCTAGAATTTACAGTCTCCTGGTTTTAAGACCAGCATCTTAATCACAACATCAAACTGGCTCTCTTGTGAAAATGAGGTATTTTGATTGCTGAAAATCAGTAGAATTTCTAGCCACTTTGAATGAAAAATACCTAGAAGTCATAGCATAATCCATATTTTAAATATGGATTAAAATAAAATAAAATCCCAACTGTATCCATACTTCTGAAAACATAAAAATACCCTATTTCTTTTCAACTAACAAAGTTATTCAAAGCACAGAAAGTTAGGAAGAATAGAAAGCCAAAGAAATTAAAGATGAGATTAAAATACAGCTAAATCTAGCTTATATTAACCAAATCCTGTTACTTTTTACCTTTCCAGCAAACTTTTTTTGCATCCATCATACCCACATTCCAAATTTGCTGTTAAATGTTTTAACGTTCCAAAATATTTTTACTTTCTAGGTTATTATCTGTAAAGTATACTGTTGTCTTGATTACACCTATATTCTCTATTCTACTTTGTTTTGACCAAAATCGAAAATACAGGTAGTCCTCAAGTTATGACCACAACTGAGATCAAAATTTCGGTTGCTAAGCAAGGTGGTTGTTTAGTGACTTGCACCTGATTTTACAACCTTTTTTGCCATGGTTGTTAAGTGAATCACTGCAGTAAAATTGTTGTTAAGCAAATCTGGCTTCCCCCATTGACTTTGCTTTGTCAGAAGCCAGCTGGAAAAGGGGATCACATGACTTCAGAATGCTGCCACAGTCATAAATACATACTGGTTGCCAAGCACCCAAATTTTGATCACATAATTATGGGGATGTTGCAACGATCATAAAGCGTGAGGAATAGTTTTTTGAATGCCATTGTAATTTTGAACCATCACTAAATGAATTACTGTTACTCAAGGACTACCTGTACAACTAGAATAGTCATTAAATATAAAACAGTATGTGCATACCAAAGGTGGTATTTACAATAAACAATTAAACAAATAAACAATTAAGTAGGAACAGATCAAATGGATCAATTCATCTGACCAAAGACCAAAGACCTTCATAGGCTGTAATAAACGCTATTAAGAAGGGAAGGGAAAGGGATCTAATCTGGATTAGGTCCTCAGCATTGGAAATTGGAGATAGAATTAAGTTTTTTAAAAAATATACATGAATCAATTTTTGGTCACATATACTGCAAGAATAAGAACTATTTTTCAAGTACAATCTCAATTTTTTGTTGCTCCTAAGGTAAAAAAAATCAATATTTTTATTAACGGTTTATATTGGCTGCTGTCTGGCCAGTGTATATGATGTTATTTATCTATCTAATCAAAATGAATCCAATTGTTGATGATTGCAATGTATCTGTACATCCTATCGAACTATTTCAATCAGCAAAATTTAAAATTTGATAATTTTAACTATTTCAATCAGCAAAATTTAAAATTTGATAATAGGTAAGAAGAAAAGCCTGTGCTATTTTCACAGCCTCACCAAAGCCTGTGCTATTTTCACAGCCTCACCAATCCTACTGATTTCAAAGAGAGGTTTCTAGTTTAAAGAATGAAAAGGCAGTCACTGTTCAAATGGAAAGTATCCTACACTGTAGCCATGAATCTCCATGGTTCCAATTTCCACATCATTTTGCACATTCCTGTTTCAACTGAACTCAACATGCATGCGTGAAATTGGCTGGATAATAAGACCTCAGGAGGTTTAACTTTCAGGATTTCCTAATTAGCATTTTGAAAAAGAAAATCATATTCCCTTCCAATAAGTGGGAGTGATTCTCAGAATGTGGAAAGGAAAGGAAAGGAAAGGAAAGGAAAGGAAAGGAAAGGAATTTTTTAAAAAAGGATGCTCTTACATACATTTCAATCTATATTTTCATCCACTTGCACATAGTACTGAAACAAGAATATTGCTTATGCCTTAAGAAATACAGAAACCCAATCTCAAAGAAGAAAAAACAGGAGTCATTTCCCCCATACAATGTAATAGTGCAATACTGTAACAATCACTACAGAAAGGTAGAAGACTGCCAATACTGTATCCATAAACATTATCTGGCAACAGAAAAACATAATGAAAACTCCCTTTCTGCAAGTATGGGCTCAACTACAGTTTCAACCAGAAATTTATAGATCAAGCCAAATCTAAAACCACTAAGGAATTTGTGGTAGCTTGGCTTTCAGACAAATCAGGTATCAGTGGACACACAGAAATAAATCTCTTTACATACTATTTAAAACACAGAACCAAAAGCCTAGGAAGGGGATAAACAGCCTAGATCAGGGGTGTCAAACTGCCAGCCTGCGGGCCGGATGCGCCACGCCAAAACCGCACCCACATTGCTAGCAATGTGAAAAAAGTCACGATACATCGCCACACGTCATGTGACGTCACGAGTTTGACACCCATGGCCTAGACTATATGCCCTCTAGTAGCCGATATCCAGAGAAGCAAGAAATAGCACTAAATAAACAATCAGGGAGGAAGTAATACCCTAATCAAGGAAACATCCAGGAGGAGTTTGGAACTCCTGATTTATTTAAAACCATAACTCAGAACTAGAAAGAATACCGATCTCAAGCATTAAATTATATTATTCAAATTTCACAGACCGAAGTTTGTTTGACAAGGTACTTGAGGAAATTATACATATTTAACAGCTATTTTGAGGCCAAAAGGCTGACTATTCCAAGCATCTTTTTTCAAAATATTTTTACATGAGGACATTAGAAATTATATATGACATTGTTTAGGTACCCTTCTTTCAAGACATCAAAAAGGAAAACATTAATGTCAGCAGATTTGCTAGAACAGCCACTTTGCCTTAATAGATAATAGAAAAAAAAATCACTCCTGAATTAGACTAGATGTGGGGAAAACAGCAACATGAGTAGTCCTTGGAGATTTTCCCCTTATGATGTATTCAAGTCCTTGGTCCCTTATTCTGTCCTTGCTTAACTGGGAAGAAGTCCAGAGTTACCACAGGAGTGCTAGACTGCTTCTGGAAGTCACAATCACTTAGATAGATAGATGTCAAGAGCCCATGAGATATGAAAAAAGATAACATAAAAAAACAGCTTCAGCTATAAGATTTCAATACCATAACAGAGAAAGTTGTTATGGAAATCTACTCTTTTTATGAAACGTCTTACTCAAGTCATTTTGAAACTCTTTTAACATATGAGTATGTAGAATAAAATGTTTAAATTATATTCAGATATATTTTGTACCAAGTCTACCATTTAGAATTCTCTTGGCGTAAAGTTTTAATGTATCAATTATATAAGATTTTTAAAATTAGAACAGATGTCTTACAGTATGAATAGAATATATTGTTTCCTACTACATATTTGCATTCAGTTTACACTTTAAGTTCAGGTTTAATGAATTTAATGGTTTTTTAATAATCATTTAATGAAATCTTGAAAAACTATAACTTCTAAATCTATTTTTATTCACCCAATCCTAATTTTTTGTTCCTTTCTTTTCATTCTTTCTTATTTTCTGTGTATAAATATTTTTCTTGAAGTTTTCAATAAGAATATATTAAAAGTCTCAAGATGGTGATAATCTGGCCAGAGTAGCTTTTTGTAAAATGGACAACTNGCAATACACTTTGCTTCCTTTCTAGGAAGGATGGCTTTTTTTAAAAAAAAAATATTTCTTAGCTAAATGTCCTCTGAAGTTTTTTTTCTTTGCTCTTTAATGTTCTTCTATTCACCATCTTTGTCTGCATAGCTATCTTCCAATATAATGATTCTCTTCCTACCAATATCTAAGCAAATGTTAGAAAAGAAAACAACAGGATTTTTTTTTGTTTTAAAGGGTCCTATTTCTATTTTAGTTTATTTTCTGCTTTAAATGAAAGGATATGAAATGCAATTATTATCAATAACATGAAATGGTAAGCCAGATAAATGCAAATGTATCATAATGGTGCATACTAGTGCATAATTGTCAGAGATAACCTTTAGAAATATGGAAGTATAATAA